CCTCTCTGAAATCAATAAAAATATATTTTAAAAAAACACCCCCAAAACCCAGAAAGCTAATTAGATGTGTGCTTGACATATGATTGGTACTATACTAAGCCTGTACAGTTAGTAGCTCATTTGACCCTGATGGGCTAGGTACTTGTATCAGTCATATTATATGCATGGGAAATCCAAGGCACAGAGAAGTTAAGTAACTTGCTCGAGGTCACTCAGTTAAGAGTGATGAAACTGGGATATAAGCCTAGCTGAACTCGGAACAACTTTTAACTACAAGTAAAGCTGGATGTTGACTTTTAGCTTTCATATGTGCAATTCAAGTTTCCCTACTGTTGTTTCTAAAGATCTAGGTGGCTAGCGCTTATACTTTATCATCTAACATGCTGCTATTCTGACTTCTGGGAGGTGGAAAGCACCTGACACACTACTGTTAATGATTCCAAGGCCAGCGTTAGGGCAGAGTCAAGAGTTGGCCCCAGTGTAGAACTCTATCCCCCCTCAACTGGCAGGATGATGCAGACAATGATTCAACGGTTGCCTATTAGGCTGGTACCCACCCATCCTCATGGTTCAAAATACTAATTGTGATGTAATATTTGTTGAACGTTTTCAAAAATACTTGGTGAGTTATGCTTTAAATATTTATATGAATGCACTGGAGGATGATGGTGAAGGTGCAGTTTTGACATCAAAACAAGCAGGTGCATCAGATATTTAATTAAAGATCAGTTGAAAAAAGCAGATGCAGTCACTCTGATGGAAGTATGGTCTAATCCCCAACCCCAGGTCTGAGAACAGCAGGGCCTACTGTCATCTTTGGAAACAAAATGTGGTTACAGATGAATTGGAGAAAGAATGCAAATTTACTGCCTACATAATTTCAGGGCTGGTTTCTTTTAAAAGGTGGTTATTATTAAAATACAAAATGATTTATGTTCAGGATTTGGGGAGGTATATGAACTCCCTTTCTCACATTAACTTGCAGAGAGAAAACTGGAAGGCTGCCTGCTCCTCCCTTGCTAAGAAAGGGTGTTTATTAGCTAGGATGCAATGAAAATTTTAATACTATTTTATAGCAGGGGACTCTCTCTGGCCTTTCATCTGGATATATGGCTTTTGTTCCTCTCGTGGATAAGGCTAATTAGAGTCTAATCCTAATTTGTTATTTATCACGATACAGTATTTTTAAAAAATCTTAACTGTATTTCTGTACAATTAGGATTAAATTACTGGCTTTAAAGAGTTCCCTCTTTCCTACCGATGGTACATTAAGTCAATGGAAATTAGGAATGTGCTAATTTAACAATTTATACCACAGCCCTGTTTCCTGGCAATGTTTATCAATTTAAGAAAGGAAATATATTTGATAAAATCAAAACCTTTCTTCCCTCAACCCCCCTACTCCTTTTTTCTTTTCTTTTTGGCTTATTCTGAGCAATTGTCCCCAGGAAATTAACCCACCAACCGCTGTCAAGTCTGATTCCTCTTTCTGGAGTTACAGCCTTCCTGCCCCTCCATGATGTCTCAGCTGACTTCTCATCTCATATCCGCTATCCACTTGCAAGGTATTTTAGAGTTAGGATCTGCAGGATTGCTCAACACCATCCCACCCCCAGCTCCACCCATCATCTTTAAATTTTTTAAATAAACCTTTTAGATGCTGGTGGGTGGGGCCAACCACCAGGGAGACAGCAGGTCTGGCCCATCCTTTTTCTGACCCTCTGGGGCCATCTTCCTTCTGGCAATTCTCTTTCCCCCATCTGTTTTCCTCCTTTTTTTTTTTTTTTTAAATGAGGGGGGGGGTATTAAAAACAATCAAAGAAAGGAAAAGAAACCAACCCCCCAAATACATCCAACACCTCTGAAGCAAGGCCAGTGTGGTAGAAAATTCTATAGCCGCGTGTAGAGTCGTATGTGACTGTGTGCATGTTTACACGCAGGTCTCAAACTATGAAACGAAGAAACTCATAAAGGCAACAAATGGTAGCAGGAGACGCTTACTTCTATTTCATTGGCAAACAAGGAGCTGTTTTGTTTTTCCAGTTTTATTGAGATATAATTGGCATGTTTTGCTTTTATTTGAGAGTAATTGCTGCACTCCCTACATATTTCAGTCAATGTTCACTGAGCTCCGATTGACTCCAGGTGTTGAGGACAGCGCTCCTGAGGGCAGCTGAGGACTTGGCCCTTCCCAGTGGGGCTGCCAGGCTCAGGACAGCACTTGGGGCCACAGTGGCCTTGTCCCCTTAGGGGTAGGGAGGTGTTTCTGCACTATGGAATGTTCAGCACATTTATCCAGCTGGGTCGATTTAAGGGCTTTTTCCAAGCTGATCTTTCCCTGTAAAACTCCTCGAATTCTGGTGAGCAAATTTAGAGAAGCTGGGGATATTTACCTGGCTGTGTGTTTTTTTTTTTCATCTTTATAACCCAGACATGGTTATTCAGAGTGGACACTGTTTTTTTCTTTCATTTTATTGAAATATAATTGACATACCGTGACCTGCACAGATCTTAAATGTCAGATGGACAAGTTTTGACAAATGTAGACACCCATATATTTTTATAGATATCACTACCCCAAGGTTCCCTCATCCCCGCCCTCCCAGTCAATACACCCCCACCACCACGGATACTTTTCTTATCTCTATGGCTTAGATTTGCCTGTTCTCTAATTTCCTGTAAATGGAATCACATAGTATGTACGCTTGTGTTTGGCAGCTTTCTCCTAACGTGATGTTTTTGAGACTCATCCAGGTTATTGCCTGTACAAGTAGGACCCAACATGTCACTAACAGCTTGACAGTGTTTAGACCCGGACAACTGTTCGGCCCATTGGCCATCAGACCAGATACCCTCTAAATCCTGACATGTGGTCCTATCTGCTCTCCCAAGTCAGTCTCTTTCCAGGGCCAAGCAAGTTCCTCTTCCAGAACCCGCCCAGGCAGCCTGGGGCACCACCCAGATGGCCCAGGGGCCATCACCCCGGCAGCCTCCCCGGAACAGCTGCCCTCTGCCCCACACCCCTCATTAAAACTCAAAGGAAACTGGCCCCTCCGGAGATCAGAATTCAGGTTCGTTTAATTCCACCCATCCAACTGCACACAACGGCAAGTGCCGATCACAGATATGCAGTCCTTAAGAAAATGTTAAAAAATAATTCAAAAAAAAAAAAAAAAGGTGGGGGAAAAATCCTAGATCTCACGGGCAGTGGATATCAGCTTCTGTTGAACCAGGATTCCGAATGAAATCTTTTCCTTTCTTTTATTTTTTTAAATAAACGGAAGAGTCCTTCTCCGCTCCTCGCTCGGAAGGTTTCAAAGGTCGTCACACTGAAGCCTGGGGGCGTTCGTCTCCCCAGCGGCCTGGAGAAGGGAGGAGGTTGGAGGGAGGAGGGAGGGAGCACACAAAAGCGAGCCATGCAGAGAGGGCTAATGTTTCCTGTTTGCCTGGAACCCCCTCCCCTGTGTCCCCTCCCCCAGCCCCCTCCCAGCACTCGGGCGGAAGTGAGTTTGCTCCTTTGGAGATTAAAAGGATTCCGAATTCCGATCAGTCCCAATAACCAGCGAACTAAGAGGAGGAGGAGGAGGAGGAGGAGGAAGAGACGGCAAAGCAGAGAAAGAGGGGGGCTCGCACGCGCGTGCACGCCCGCAGCCCGAATTGGGGGAGTTGTGCAAAGCCCCAGGAGGTCAGGGCGCGCGGCGTGAGCAAAGCCCGGTAGGCGCAGCGCGGCCGGGGCCACCCTAGTCTTGCACGGCGACTCGTTTCTGAAAGATGACGCTGGCCGGCGGCGTTGGCCACGCGGCTCCCGAGCTCACCGCGCTGGGCCGTTGCCGGTTCCACTGATTCCTGCGCGCCCCAGAGGAGGCTCCGTCCCCGCGGCTTGGGATCGGAGGGGGGACTGAGGCGAGGGCGAAATGGCCCGATGACAAAGGAAATGTGATCCCCCTTCGCTGCCAAGGTTTCAGAGAGGACGGACGTGAGGAGGAGGAGGGGCGCGGGGCGCGCGCGGAGCTCGGATAGCATTGCACGACGGCTCGCGCGGAGCGGGCAGCGGGTACATCTAATATCTTCCTGCCGATGAATAATTCAGGACGGCCCGCGGGGACCTGCGGCCCCGCGCTGCAGCGCGGCTAAACCGGAGGGGAAGGAGCGCGCGGGAGGCGCCCAGGCCGGGCGAGGCGGGGCACGAGGGCCCGGGGCCGCGTGGGGCGCGCGTGCGTGTTAAGCGCCGGCAGCCGCGGCCGGGCCAGGCAGGCGCGCGGGAGACTCGAGGCGCGTGGGACGCGCGTGCGTACTACCACACGCGGGCGGCCGCGGCCGGGCCCCTACGACCTGCAGCTGCTGCGGGGCCGACAGTCCTGCAGGGGAGCCCGCGCCCGGCCGTGCGCAAGCCCGAGCGCGGCACGCCGGGCCACCCAGGAGTCCCTGGCCGCCGCGTCATGCGGTGGGGCGGCCGGCGTCGCGCGGGGGGACACGGGCTTGGCGTCGCGCCGCTCCCGCCTTTACTAGTTTGGGGGAGCCATTCTCTCCCAAGAAGAGACTAACTAAATTAATTTAAAGAAAAGCAACGCACCAAATACTCGTCGAACCAAATTTTGCTACTCCCGCCCGGACTGGGATTGCACAGCGGACTCTACTTTGGAGGACTTCCCTCCGCGAGCGAGAAGCCAAGCTCCAGCTGCTCCAGGGAGTCCTCTGACCTCCCTGCCCCCGCTCTCCCCTCGCGAGTCGGGACTTGTTCCGGCGCTCCCGCTTTGGAAGGCACGCAGCCCCCACGTCCTCCGGGGAGAATCTGTGTGGCCTCTGGATAGTGGCATTTAATGCCCGCAGCGTCGGGAGTGGCAGCGCGCGGACCGGACGCGGCGAGGCCAAGAGGGCCGCGCCGCTCTGGTGCGGGCTCCTGGATTGCAGACCTAATCGATGCATTTTTCTGAGTGAGTCGGCGGCTCCCCACCCACCTCGTCGGCGCTCTCCTCTCCTCCTCTTCCTCTCTGGTCTCCTCCCTCCTCCGGCCTGGTTGCAAATGGCTTCGTTCCCTGAGACCGACTTCCAGATCTGCCTGCTGTGCAAGGAGATGTGCGGCTCGCCAGCGCCGCTCTCCTCCAACTCGTCTGCGTCGTCGTCGTCCTCGCAGACGTCCACGTCGTCGGGGGGGGGGGGGGGGGGGCCCCCCGGGCCGCGGCGCGCCGCCTGCACGTCCTGCCCTGCCTGCACGCCTTCTGCCGCCCGTGCCTCGAGGCGCACCGGCTGCCTACGGCCGGCGGCGGCGCGCCGGGAGAGTCACTCAAACTGCTTTGCCCTGTCTGCGACCAGAAAGTCGTGCTGGCCGAGGCGACGGGCATGGACGCGCTACCCTCGTCCGCCTTCCTGCTCAGCAACCTGCTCGACGCCGTGGTGGCCACGGCCGACGAGCCGCCGCCCAAGAACGGGCGTGCCGGCACCCCGGCGGGTGCGGACGGCCACAGCAACCACCGGCACCACGCGCACCACGCGCACCCGCGCGCGTCCGCCTCGGCCCCGGCGCTCCCGAAGGCGCCTCCGCTGCCGCCCGCGCTTCTACGCTCCTGCGCCGGGGAGGACCCGCCGCGTCTCCGTCGGCGCTTTTGCTGCGCCGGACTCACGTCTGCACTCTTGTTGACGAGGGTAACGCTCGGCCTCGTCCGCAGCTCCTCGACTGCCAAGAGCACTCCTGCGCGATAACTTGGCGTCCGGAGCGGCACAGGGGGGTGCACCTCCACCAAGGATCACCTACATATCGATCGAGGCGGCCCGCCGGGGGCCACCGCCGCCGCCCGCCCCCGCAGCGCAGCAGCTCGGGCTCGGGGCGCCCTTTCAGCGGCCCCGCCCTTCTCCATCATCTCGGTCTTCCCCGAGCCGCCTCGGCTTCTGCCAGCACCACGACGACGAGGTGAGTGCATGGCGAATTCCGAGGGGGCTTCCCCGGGGCGCGGGTTCGGCGCGCGTGTGTGTTTCCATCGGGGAGGCCTCGCGAAGGGCCGCGCGCGGGACGGTCCCACAGCGGTGAGTGGTTGGGTGGGGGGTGGTGGTGGTGGGGGGTGTCTTCTCCTTTCGGGATGTCTTGTTTTCCCTTTGGCTACATGGTGGTCCTCGCTTACATAGTAGTAGGGCTATGCATGTGTCCGAAAACGTGGATCCCCACATGTGGAGTTACCCCTTTTCCTCCTCTCATTTCCCGTGTGACCAAACGTGGCAACCGTTTTCTCTAACGAGGCATGAGCGGGGAAGAGAGAGGTGGGTGTCAGTGTAGACCTGGTTTCCTAGTGCGAGGGTTTCCGCCGCCCCCGTTCCCGAGGACACCCCCCCCCTTTTTTTATGGATTTGATTTCCTTATTTGTTTGACAAGGCGTGCGTGCTATTGTTTTAAGTAAGACCCGAGATGGCAGAGCATGTGCTGTGTGTCCGTGGAGATGTGGTTTCCTTGTGCGGGAACTCCTAGAGGCCTCCCAACGTGCCGAGGGCTCTCTTTTAGCTTCTCTGCTCCTTTTTCATAAAATTCATAGATGGTTGCTTTTAAGTAGGGCATGAGCCAGGAGGAGGTGGCTGTGTGGGTGAGGAGTGAGTGTGCCTGTGCAGACCTGGTTTCCACGTACGCGTTTCTGAGGGAGGTCTCTGTTTTTTGTTGGGGACACGGTGGCAGCCCCCTCTCCTTGTGCTGTATCTGAGAGCATCTGGATCTTTGAGGACCGAGGGGCCCGCGTCCAAAGCGCCCCTCTTCCCCGCTGTTGTTTTCCCCGCACTGGAGAAAACGTGTCCTGGTGCCTGAACCTGCCCTCATGCCCTTCGGTCGTCGGCCCAGGTTTGCGCCTAGAGAAGCAGAATTGGGGGACTGTCCCCATTGCCCTCTCCCAGCTGGAAGTCCCTTGGGCCGCTCCAGCTTTGATTCCTACTGGAACCGGATTGAGGGGGGCTCGACTCCTCTTGGGGGAAAAAACACACAAAAAACGGACCCAGCTGCACGCGGCTAGAACCTGAGGGTTTGCAACGTCCGAGGGCTGCACTGCAGTCTTTGGGCTTCATTTCTCTGTTTTGGCTGTTAAATGAAAGCCTTATTGCTTATTTTTCACATCGTGTGACACCGTCCACTCCCCCGAACCATTAGAGCAAAGGGCCGAAAGCGTTGAGCAGCAGGCTCTGTAGAGATGGTCGGTAACTTACGCTGTGCGTACTTGCTAAAGTCTTTGCCTTGGACCTACGTAGAGCAGGAGACAGCAAAGGCTTAAAAATCGTAGAGGGAGTTGCTGCCTGCGAGTTGGAGTGGGCGTGCTGGTACCGAGCTGGGCAGAGGCTTGCAAAGCGCAGCCTTTTCCTCTCCTAACCTGTTATTTGGGGAGGAAGGCGGAGCTATTGCCTGATGTCCTTAAGCCGGCTTCTCCTAGTGGGAAAAAGTTGAAATTCTAATCTACTTGTTGTAGGTGCCTCCCTTTATTAAAGGTTTTCTTCTAGGTTTGAAGCTGGGGAACAGTTATTCTTGCCCTTTGTTTTTAAGCTTTGAATGGACTCACCTTTAAAGTTTTCTACACATTCACGGGTGAATGTTTCCAGTATGTTCTTGCGTCACTTTCAGAAAAATGATTGAGCTAAATATCAATCCGAATCTCAGGAATGGAAAGGTGTGGAGATTAGGGAGAACTGGGGGTCGGGGGAAGTGTGCAGGGAAGAGGGCAACTTGAATCCACCGTTGTTTTCCCCCTGGGATGCGTGTTGATTGGACCCTCCTTCCCAGCAGTTGATTTTAAATGTCAGGTTTTATTTATATTCCCAGTTAAAGATCCACATACGATTTATTTGGGCTAAAACAGTGGATGCTTAGTGTCACCAGACTTGTAAAAGGTTTATGCACTTTTTAAATTATAAAACCGTTCAGATGAGGTGGGAGAGTGTAAAATTCGAAGTGACTGCTCCCCCCACCCTGGGAGGTACCTGAATGCCCTGAAAATTCACTGTTTAACATGTGCTCTACACTAGGTTAAAATTGTTTGGCAAAAGTGTTAAGATACTGCATTGTTAAACTAAAGGTCCTTTAAAAACATGAAACTTTTCAGTTTTGAGCAAAATCAACCTCCCACTTTTCTGTTTTTCATTACCAAAAAATTGGACATTAATTTTTAGACCTTTTTTTCTCTGGATTTAGAATGCTAGGAAATTTGAGTTTAAAGATGGCAAACCAGTGCTGTGAATAGAGGAGTAAAGTGACACCATGTTCATATAAGGGGTCCGACGCCCATGGCCTAAATTCTTCCTTTCCTTCTAAGCAAGTGATGGGTAACAGTTTTAAAATATTGTTCCATTGAAAAGTCATGCTTTTGACTGGCAGAGAGCATGGGGGCACTCTTGGAGGATGGCTGTCCTCTATTTGATGGTGACGGACTGAACACCCAAACCCCAGGTATTTGACTGTATGCACAACCTACCTTGATTTTTAAAATGTGCTGCTTTGCTGAGTTGCCTCCTGTGACAACAGGCTCCATTAAATAATTCAGGGTGCTCTTGCCTTATGGTGACTGATGCCACCTGACCTTGGGAAGGAGGGTTGACGCCTGGCTTTTGTTCTTTAATTTTAGGGAGGGTACCTCCGACAGTTGGCCCCTCAGGGGTGTGGGAGGCTTTTCTCAAGCACCCCCCTACCCCAGCGCAAGGGCTCCTCTGGATTGGCCAAGTTGTTTTGAGCGCTTGATTCAAAATAACTTTAAAATCTAACACGGGAGGGCGTTGGGGTTTCCAACAAAGTTGTAAGAATTGCTTGCTCCCAGGTATTTGGCTCAAAAAAAAAAAAAAAGAGTTTGGGTTTTCCCCTAGTTGTATATCTCGATGGTCAGTCCAAAAGGCGGAAGGCCTGCAGGCCCTGCGGCCCCGTGGACATCCAGGCCTGGAACTGGGCCGCGTTCCCAAAGAGGCCCCCAGGGTAGCCTGGCTGTGGGCTGTGGGCTGTGGGCCTGCGCCTCCGCCAGCCTGGAGCCCCCAACCCACCTCAGCTCTGGTGACGCTGCTGGCCTTGTGGCCGCTCCTCACCCCTCGGACACCCGAGATAAAGGGTCTGCAAGGGTTCACACGTGTTTGGGGTGGGGGAGAAGAGTGGCAGGGAGTTAAGTGGGACTTGGGTAACCAGCCACTCCCCAGTTGCCCTTTAATGCTGTGTTATTGGCACTTAGGATGCGAGCCCTTTGCTGACTTGGAGGCGACACTGGAGCAAAAATCTAGGGGGACCAGGGTGTGTGTGTTGTGTGTTAAAGGGCTGGGTGTCAGGACTCTGTAAATGGTGGGAAGCTGAATGTGGTCTAAATGTGTTCCGGTTTCCAGGAAGGCCCTGTCACTAGCGGTGTGTGTGTGTGTGTGTGTGTGTGTGTGTGTGTGTGTGTGTGTGTGACCGGGGTGACACGCTTGCGTCTTAGCTAAGACAAGCATTGTAGCCCATCTCATCAAAGATGGCAATGTTGCTTCCAGTTAGGCAGGCCAAGTGTGGGGTTTTCCTGAGTCCCCTGGATGGAAAATGGGGTGCAGATGTTTACCCACTTAATATCCAGTCCCCTCTTTGGGTTAAAAAAAACAACAACAACTTGGAAAGATGTAAGTTTTAGAATTCCAATCAGATAAGACCCTGGATATTGAATGATTTAGACTTAGGGACTATCTTTCCCTGGGAAACCACTTCAAAAATCAGCCTCAAACCACTTTGAGGAAGGCAGGTTTGCTGCCTAAAGTAGTTGGATGTGGAATAAATTCTTGTTTTGTGTCTTATTTGGAATAAGTCACTGTGAAGTGGGGATTATACCAGTGTTGGCACCAATATACGTATTTTTAAAATTTCTTTATTGATTAAGTTATTACATATGTGTCCTTATCCCCACATTACCCTCCCATCCCCCCTACGCATGCCCTCAAATATACGTATTTTTTAATTGTGTATTCACAGTGCCTAAGCTTTTTCAGGCACGCATACCCAGTGTTGTCTTTAAATTATGTGTCGGCTGTGTAACTTATAAAACCTATACCAAAAGACTTTGTGTGAGAACAAGAGAAAAAGCCAATGTAAGTGCGAATTCTAGTATTTCTGCCCCACATTTTTGACCTGCTGTATGTATAGGAATTAGGTGGACATGTCTGCTTAATGCATACATCTGACCCATTTGCCAGGAAACCAAACTTTTCATAACTTGGAAATAAATTCGAGGTTGCTGCTTTGAATTGCGTTCAGCAGGTTTGTAGGTGGAAGCCTGTGGAGTGAAGAAAATATATGGAAGAGAAATGTTATTGATTTCTTAGTTTCTTATCCTTGAAGGCATTCTGTTTGTGGGCTTTTAAAAAGTCAACGTTTGAGCTGGGGAATGTGCCCCTGTAGTTCAATTAAGTGCATAGGGAATGATCTTATCAGAGTGGGCCTTGCTGAATTTGGCAAACCTTCGCTAGTGAGGTTGCCTTGCAGGCAGGTATATCCCCGAGCCATGAAGTGTGCCGGTAATACCTGAGAGAGATTGCCGATTGCCAGTGGCATCAGCACTGCCTTGGGGAACCTTTTGTGACTTTTCCCTCTTACAGAGTAAACTACATTGGTTTTCAGGTTGCATAGACTTCCTTTGGGTCTGCAGGATTTTTATTTCTAGTGCTAGGAATAATATATATTTTGGAAACCATGAAGATACTTTAGGAAGAAAACAGAACAGGCACTTTCTCCCAGACTTCAGTTCTTCATTTGATATTACTATATGCTGTTTAGGATTCAAGTTAAGTAGTTGTATGTGGAACAAAGAAGTCTGGAAGTCTGGAAAGTGTTTGCAGATTGAGTAAAATTTCCTTTTTCCACCAGAGTTCTTCCTCCCATTTTAGCTATTTACACTGAAATCAGCATTTAAAATGTATAGTTTCTTAAAGCACTACTTTAAAACAACGGAA